GAACAGGTCTCGCTTTGTTCCTGGACATGAGGTGCCATGGCATTCAGCCTAGCTTCACAGGCACCTCAAACTTCCTGGCTCAAGGATCCTTCCTTGCCTCAAGCCTCCCAAGTAGGCTGGGACACCAGGCATGCCCACCAGTGGGCTGGGCTATTTTATATATTTTATTGGCATTAATTGTTCATTTTAGTAGTACGGTCCTCCACTGCTCAGGCTGTTTCGACTCCTGACCTCGAACAATCTGCTCGTCCTTCGGCTCCCGATGCTATGGATTCAGGCGTGAGCCACCGTGCCCGGCTATTTTTTTTTTAATTTTATGACTAGTCAAGTGATACGGTGAGAAAGGGGAAAAAGAAAGAACAAAGCTCAATCTGTTAACTGACTGTGAGCACAAATGAAAACTCCAAACTACCTTTGGAACGTCCACCACCGGCTGGATTTTGTTGGTTTCCTTGTTTGATGAGACCAAGGAATGTCCTTGTGAAATACCGCTCTTGTTATCTCTTTAGCTCTAGTGAATGTGTAGTTTGGTGGGTGATTAAGACAGCCACGAAGCAATAGACACGAAAGCATGATGGCGCCTACTTCAACATCTCTCTCCTTCCAGTTTTAAAGTTCAGCTGGAGCCGCGGGCCTGCCGGAGATTGCGTCTGTTGCCAGTGGCACCACCCACACTTGATAAACTTCGACTGACAGGGGACCGCCTTGGAAGATTCGGGCCTGAGCTGGTTGGTGCCAGGACTGCCGCATTCAGTCGCAGACTATCGGAAAACTTGTTGTGGTCCTTCTGCCAACTTAAATTCAAATCTCTTTCATATTGAAATGTAACGCAACAAGAAACGCCCACTATCTTTAAACAACCATATTATAGGCAGCTTATTCCACAATGGCAAAGAGTACAACCCAAACTGTCCATGGATTGAATAAAGAATAATGTGTGGCCCTGGGCGCGGTGCTCACGCCTGTAATCCTAGCACTCTGAGGAGCGAGGCGGAGGGTGCTCGAGTCAGGATTCGAAACCAGCCTGAGCAAGAGGCGAGACCCCGTCTCTAACATAAATAGAGAAATTTAATTGGCCAATAAATATATAGAAAATAGCCGGCATGGTGGCGCATGCCTGTATCCCAGCCACTGGAGCTTTGAGGCAGGCCAGGATGGCTTGAGCCAGGAGTTGAGGTTGCTGTGAGCGTAGGTGATGCCACGGCACTCATTAGCCTAGGCAACAAAGCGGACTCTGTTCAAAATAAATAAATAATAAACATAAAATAAATAAAAACCAAAGAAAGATGTGTATGTTGCACCAGTCAGTCCCCTTTGGCTGAGGTGGGTCCCAAGACACACATTCAAAGGGAGCCGAGGATCACACCGATTGCACAAACATATCCCCAATATTTAAACAAAAAATGCATTACCTTAAATTTTTTAACTGGCAATAATGTAACAAAAGTTTACCATCTTGAGCATTTGTAGTGTGCAGCTCATGCGTTCAGAGGGCCTTCGGCGGTGTGGAGCATCTCCGCCGGCCATCCCCGGAACGCCTTCCTTCCGCAAAACTGAAGTTCTGCGCCCCACTCACAACTGCCATCCCTGGCCCACCCCGGCATCCTCCACTCTGCTTCTTCTCTGTGAATCATCCTCTAAGTTCCTCATAAATGGAATCGTAGTGAAGGAAGACCGCCGAGCGCTGGCGCAGCGCTCCCCACGGCAGGTGCGTCTGGGCGGCTCGCTCACACTCTGTCCCCGCAGGGCTGGCTCCTGCTCCCGATCCTCCCTGGAGCTGGCTGCGCGGATTGATTGGTACTTTGAATCCGCTGTTGCTGATTGGTGTAAGCTGTCTGATGACGCTTTTGATTCCTTACCAAGTTATAAAACAGATACGCCTGGGAAATCTCTCAGGAGTTTGAGGTTGCTGTGAGCTAGGCTGATGCCACGGCACTCATTCTAGCCTAGGCAACAAAGCGAGACTCTGTCTCAAAAATAAATAAATAAATAAACAAATAAATAAATAAAAACCAAAGAAGATGGGTTTATGGTTGCACCAGTCAGTCCACCCTTTGGGCTGAGGTGGGTCCCCAAGACACACATCAAAGGGAGCCCGAGGAGTCACACCGATGGCCACAAACATATTTCCCAATATTTTAACCAAGAAAATGCATTACCTTAAAATGTTTTTTAACTGGCAAAATACATGTAACAAAAAAGTTACCATCTTGAGCATTTGGAAGTGTGCAGCTCAGTGGCGTTCAGGGCCTTCGGGCCGGTGTGCAGCCATCGCCGCCGGCCATCCCCGGAACGCCTTCCTTCTCGCAAAACTGAAGTTCTGCGCCCACTCACAACTGCCATTCCCTGCCCCACCCCGGCATCCTCCACTCTGCTTTCTGTCTCTGTGAATTTCATTCCTCTAAGTTCCTCATGTAAATGGAATCGTAGTGACAGGGGAAGACCGCCGAGCGCTGGGGCGCAGCCGCTCCCCCACGGCAGGTGCGCACTGCTGGGCGGGGCCTCGCGTGTCCACACCTGCTGTCCCCGCCAGGTGCTTGGCCTCCTGCTCCCGTCCTCCCTTGGAGCTGGCTGCGCGATGTTGATTGGATACTTTTTGAATCCCGCTGTTGCTGATTGGATGTTGAAGCTTGTTGCTGATTGGACGCTTTTTGATTCCTACCAAGGGTATAAAAACAGGAGGAGCCTGAGGAAGGGGGGTCAGAAGTCAGCAGTTGGCTGAGCCTGATGAAGGGATAAAGACTGATCTGCTCTTCGTGTGCCGCTCAGTGCTTTCCCGGGCCAAGTGCTGCAACAAGACCTGTAACACTAGCTGTACACCTTGTTGCAATAGAATATTTGCTTTTAGTGACTGGCTTATTTCACTGAAAATAATGTCCTGAAGGTTCATTCTTACTATAACGTTATCAAGGTTGTATGGCGTTTCAGAATCTCCTTTCTTCCTTAGGCCAAAGAATATTCTCTTGCAGGAATATGCCTCGTTCTGGCTATTGGTTATTGATCCATCCATCTGTCAGTGGCCCCTTGAGTTGCTTCCAGCTCTTCGCTATTGTGAATAATACTGCAATGATCACTGGCATACAAATATTCCCTCAAGACCCTACTTTCAATTGTTTTTAATATACATCTAGAAGTAGAATTTCTGGATTCTATGGTAATTCTATTTTTAAATTTTTTTAGGAACTGACATATTGTTTTTCATAGCAGTTAATGACATTTTACATTCCAGCCAATGTGCATAAGGTTCCAGTTTCTCCACTTCTTCACCAATACTTGTTTTTGTTTTGTTTTGTTTTGTTTTTATGAGACAGAGTCTCACTCTGTTACCTGGGCTAGAGTGCCGTGGCATCAGCCTAGCTCACAGCAACCTCAAACACCTGGGCTCAAGCGATCCTCCTGACTCAGCCTCCCGAGTAGCTGGGACTACGGGCATGTGCCACTACAGCTGGATACATTTTTTATATTTTTAGTTGCCTGGCCAAATTTCTTTCTATTTTTTAGTAGAGACAGGGTCTAACTCTTGCTCAGGCTGGTCTCAAACTCCTGAGCTCAAGCAGTCCTCCCACCTCAGCCTCCCTGAGTGCTTGGATTACAGGCATGAGCCACCATGCCTGGCCACCAATACTTGTTATCGTCTGAGATTTTTGTTTTTTGTTTTAAAGGTAGGGTCTTGCTCTGTTACCCAGCTAGTGTGCAGTGGAGCAATCATAGCTCACTACAGCCTTGAGCTCCTGGGCTCAAGCCATCCTCCCACTTCAGCCTCCCCAGTAGCTGGGACTACAGGTGCATCACCACACCTAGCTCATTTTTTTTTTTTTTTTTTTTATTAAGACATGGTCTCACTGGTACCCAGGCTGTCTCAACTCTGTGACCTCAAATACATCATTCGCCGCAGCCTTCCAAAGTGCTGGAATTACAGGTGCGAGCCACTACACCTGGCCTGTTTCCTTTTTTCTTTTGAGGCAGAGTGTCACTTGTTGCCCAGGCTAGAGTGAGGGCTGGGTGTAGCCTAGCTCACAGCAACCTCCAACTCCTGGGCTCAAGTGACCTCCTGCCTCAGCCTCCCGAGTAGCTGGGACTACAGGCATGCACCACCATGCCTGCTAATTTTTTATTTGGAGAAGTGTCTAATCAAGTCTTTTGTCCATTTTTTAACTGGATTGTTTGTCTGAAAATACATTACTTTTAAGATTAGTGAGAGGGGACACGATACTCTTCACATGGAAAACACTCGGTAATATTTGTTGGATTGGATTTTGTGCAGGTTGAAGATCTGCCACCTCACGGCTGCTGCCTGTGAAGATCTGGCCCCGACCCTGCGTGAGAACCGGAGCCTGGTGGAGCTGGACCTGGGCCTGAATGAGCTGGGGGACCCCGGGACGCTGCTGCTGTGCCAGGGCCTCAGGCACCCCACGTGCACGCTCCAGACGCTCCGGTGCGCTTCGCCTGCCATCTTAGGAGTCCAGACCCATAACGCCGCCCTCAGCGACGCTGCCTCCCCTCTTCTCCTGAACTCTAGCTACACCAGCCTCCTTTTGAAAACATTGCTGGGGCCCAGCGCACTGGCTCAGGGAGGCCGAGGGGGCCGGATTGCTCAAGGTCAGGAGTTCGAAACCAGCCTGAGCAAGAGCGAGACCCCGTCTCTACTATAAATACAAAGAAATTAATTGGCCAACTAACATATATAGAAAAAATTAACCCGCCATGGTGGCGCATGCCTGTAGTCCCAGCTACTCGGGAGGCCGAGGCAGGAGGATCACTTGAGCCCAGGAGTTTGAGGTTGCTGTGAGCTAGGCTGACGCCACGGCACTCACTCTAGCCTGGGCAACAAGCGAGACTCTGTCTCAAAAAAAAAAAAAAAAAAAAGAAAAAGAAAATAAATAAAATTTCTGCCACAGGGCCTTTGCACAAGCAACTCTTGCTTTCTGGAATGTCATTCCTCTGTGCTGTCCCTTTTTGCCCAGAGAAGGTAAATTCATCTTCTTGGACAAACGCCACTTTCCATGGACACTCTCCCTAATCCCTAGATGAGGTCTGAGTTCCTAGTTTTATGATCTTAGATGACCTTATACCTCCTCTGGGCATCACCTACCAAATTTTGTCATTTGTATGTATATGTGTGTGTGCGCACGTGGCATTCCAGAAGGGTAGAAGCTGTGTCAACTCTCTCTTGCAGTGACTAGAAGTGCTTTAAAATGCAATCTTTTTTATTCTTTTTAAGAGCTCAGATGCCCTCTCGCCCTGTTCCCCAGGCTGGGCTCCAGCTCCTGGGCTCAGGCGACACTCCCGCCTCAGCCTGGCGGCCACCGCCCCTGTTGTTCATCCCTTTCCTCTCGTCCCCCTGCCTACTTCTGTCTTGTCCTCTCTCTCTCTCCAGGGTGGAGACGGAGGCCGCCTCTGCGGCTCTGTCAGCACTGGGTGCGGGAGCCCTCGTGGAGGGGACTGCAGAGGCCAGAACCCTGCTCACTGGGACTGTCCTGTCGCCCTGCCCTGTCTCGCAGGTTGGGCATCTGCCGGCTGGGCGCTGTGGCCTGCGCTGCACTCTGCGACGTGCTCCAAGCCAGCCGCCACCTCCTGGAGCTGGATCTGAGCTTCAACGACCTGGGGGACGGGGGCCTGCGGCTGCTGGGCGCGGGGCTGCGACATCCCGCCTGCAGGCTGCAGAAGCTGTGGTGAGTGTCCCCCGCGGGCGTGGTGGCCACCCGGGTGGGAGCGCTTTCTCTTCCTTTGTTTTCCTAAGAAAGGACTGTTCCTCCCTCACTTTGGAATTTCCAAGGAGAGAAGAAAGAGGTCAAAAGAGAAAATAGAGACTCTCTCTGAATCTATTCTGTTCTGGGAGGCTACCTGATTAAAAAAAAAAAATCAAAATTAAACTTTTTCAAAATAAAAATAAATTTTAAAAAAGAGGAAACAGGCCAGGCACAGTGGCTGTCGCCAGTAATCCTAGAACTCTGGGAGGCTGAGGCAGGTGGATTGCTCAAGGTGAGGAGTTTGAAACCAGCCTGAGCAAGAGTGAGACCTTGTCTCTACTAAAATAGAAAGAAATTAATCGGTCAACTAAAAATATACAGAAAAAATCAGCCAGGCATGGTGGCACATGCCTGTAGTCCCAGCTACTCAGGAGGTTGAGGCAGGAGGATCGCTTGAGCCCAGGGGTTTGAGGTTGCTGTGAGCTAGGCTGACGCCACGGCACTCTAGCCCAGGCAACAGAGTGAGACTGACTCAAAAAAAAAAAAGAGGAAACATACTGTACAAGCTGTTTATGTAATTCAACACAAACATAAGTTGCTCCGTTGTTCCTTCAAGTGTTGCCTCTAAACATGTTTTTGCAAAATCCCTCTTCTTCCCTTTTTTTTTTTTTTTTTTTTTTGAGACAGAGTCTTGCTTTGCTGTCCAGGCTAAAGTGAGTGCCGTGGTGTCAGCCTAGCTCACAGCAACCTCAAACTCCTGGGCTCAAGCGATCCTCCTGCCTCAGCCTCCGAGTAGCTGGGATACAGCAGTGCCACCGATGCCCGCTTATTTTTCTTATATATTTAGTTGGGCAATTAATTTCTTTCTATTTATAGTAGAGACAGGGTATCGCTCTTGCTCAGGTTTGTCTTGAACTCCTGAGCTCAAACGATCCGTCCACCTTGGCCTCCCAGAGTCTCTTCTTCCCTTGACATTTACTTGAGCAGATTCATAGCTTTTCAATAAAGTTTTGATAATCAAAAATTCAACCTGGGCCAGGCGCAGTGGCTCACGCCTATAATCCTAGCACTCTGGGAGGCCGAGGCGGGCGGATTGCTCAAGGTCAGGAGTTGGAAACCAGGCTGAGCAAGAGTGAGACCTCGTCTCTACTATAAATAGAAAGAAATTAATTGGCCAACTAATATATATAGAAAAAACTAGCTGGCATGGTGTCGCATGCCTGTACTCCCAGCTACTCGGGAGGCTGAGGCAGAAGGATCGCTTGAACCCCGTATTGGAGGTTTGGCTGTGAGCTAGGCTGAGCCACGGCATCACTCTAGGCCTGGGCAAAGTGAGACACTGTCTCAAAAAAAAAAAAAAAAATTCAACCTGGGCCGGGCGCGGTGGTTCACGCCTGTAATCCTAGCACTCTGGGAGGCCGGAGGCCGCGGATTGTGGCCATTGAGTGTCATATAAAGGTGGGCACAGTTCTTCTCCTCGATTATTCCAGATCTGAGTCTCTAATAGTGTGTAGGAACGCGCGCATGTCTCTACTATAAATAGGAAGAAAATTAGGTCTCTTCGCTCCAGGTTTTATGCCTCTAAGTAGGTTTATGAGGTGTAAAGATAACGACTTTGTGCAGACCTTCGCTGGCCTCGGCCTCCGCAGCATGGGTGCGCGCATGGGCCTGTAATGCCAGCTACTCGGGAGGCAGGATGAGGCCAGGAGGATCGTCCATCTGAGCCCCGCAGCAGTGTGAGTCTGCCGTAGCTCAGTTGATCGCCACCGATACTCACCTGCATCCAAGAGCAAGACTTCTGTCAAAAAAAAAAAAAAAAAAATTTCAACCTGGTCCGGTGTAAATTGTAATCAAATGCTATGACTCCCTCCTTCCCCTTTCTCTCATGCCAGCCAGACCCCTAACTTGAAGGGCTTGGATTGGGATGAGACATTATCTATTTTGTAAAATCATCCTCCATTCCTGGATCTCTTTTCAAAAATTGACATATAGTAATTGTACCTGAGTATGGGGTTCATGTGATATTTTGCTACATATGCCTGCAATATATACTGATCAAATCAGGGTACCCATCACCTCAAACATTCATCATTTCTTTGTGTTGGGAACATTCCAAATCTTCTAGTTATTTTATTTTTATTTTTACTTCCCACTATACTAATGAGGATTCTAGCTATTTTTGAAATATTCAATAAATTATTAACTATAATTACCCTACTGTGGTATCAAACACCAGAACTTATTCTTCCCATCTGTGTGTTTGTACCCATGAACCAACTACTCCTCCCCCAGCCTCCCCCCGCCCCCCGCCCCGCCCTCTCCAGCAAATGAAAGACCCGCACGGGCTTCCGCGTGGCTCCCCCAGTTGTCGGGGGCCCTGATTTCTGTTATCTCCCATCCTTGAGGGTATGTCGGCTCCTTTATGGGACAGGCTCCCCCAGCTTGGTAGCAGATGCCTACATTTTACTCGTTCCAAATCCAAGCCCTGAAAGAAAAAGCTCCAAGAAAAGTATGGCTTTGGATTCGTGGGCGTTGCGGGGATCTTGTGCCCCAGCTGGAACCATTCATGGTGGCTGGGGACATGGAAAATGAGAGACTTCGGCCTAGAGCCCATGTCCATCTCTAGAGCTTAAGGACAAGGTTGACCACAGCTGGACTGAGACTGGGTTTCCATGGGAAGTTGGGGCAGAATACCCCGGAGGGAAGTAGACCCTGGGCTTCCAAATCAACAGGTGTCCCTTATGGGTGGAGCTGTGAATTTAGGATCACCTTAAATGCCTTTCTTCTTCTTTTTTTATTTTTATTTTTTTGAGACAGAGTCTCCCTTGTTGCCCCAGGCTAGCATGGTCTTGATAGGTTGTTAACTACTTCTTTATAGGGAAGAATGGATTATGGTGGTTTTTAGATTGAGTTGCGCGTGGCGTCGGAGCCTCGCTCACAGCAACGTTTAACTCCTGGGGCTTTCAAGCGGATCTCCTGCCTCAAAAGCCTCCCGGAGTAGCTGACTACAGCATGCGCACCGTGCCTGGCTATATTTTTTCCTATGTGGTTTCACCGCCCGTCCCTGGTTGACGATTAATTTCTTTCTATTTGTTAGTAGATATGCATCTGGTCTCACTCGTTTTAATCGCTCATGGCTGGTTTCGAACTCCTGCCTCGAGGCGATCCAGCCCGGGTGCCTCTGGCATCCCCAGCAGTGCTAGGAGTTACAGGCGTGGAGCCTACTTTGTTGACCAGGCCTTTTATATCCTTTCTTTTTAAGATGCTTGCCAATCTCCAATGGCCTTAAACGCTTACACTTGGCGGCTGGAGGCAACTCCACTTTCTCTTAAATTGGTCTCCTGAAAACTTCAACGCATTCCCTTGGAAAACGAGGCTTCCGCGAGAGTGTGCCAATGTTGCTGCTTTTTGTGTTTTTTTTTTTGAGACAGTCTCACTTTGTTGCCCAGGCTAGAGTGAGGCGTGGAGGCGTCGAGCCTAGCTCACAGCAACCTCAACTCCTTGTAGGAGCTCAAGCAATCTCCTGGCCTCAGCCTCCGAGGTGAGCTGGGAACTTAGCTATGAACAATGGAGGCCACCTTTTTGAATTTCAACCGTTATATTGTCCATAATTTTTTTGTAGCGTGTAGGATGGTAGTTGGATATTGTTGGGCCAAGCTAATTTGTTTCTTTATTTCATGAGTAGAGGACAGGTCTCGCTCTTGCCAAGGCTGGTTTGCGAACTCTTGAGCCTCGAGCATGTCGTGCCTGGCTTCGAGCCCCCATAGAGAGCTAGGATACAGTGCGTGAGTCACCACGCCCGGCCTCTAATGTTGCTGCTTCATCTTCCACAGGCTGGACAGCTGTGGCCTCACGGCTAAGGCGTGCAGGGACCTTTCTTCCACCCTGGGAGTCAAGGTTTTCCTATTGACCTGGGTTGAGTGATTGACCTTGGTCACCCAAGGGCAGACGCGCCTGCGGGGACATTGACCAGGTTACGGCTTGTGTCGCAGAGCCGCTCGAATGCAAATGACCCAACGTCTGGCCCACTCCGAGTCCTCTGGTGAGAGACGGTTCCTGGTTCTCTCTGGAGGAGGCAGGTCGGTTGGGAGCCTCAGGGTCAATAATTGAGACTCACAGGTTTGGTGGGTAAATAATCTGGAAAACTTGGAAACATTTCATTTATCCACTCACATATGCAATTGCACAGAATACACGAGGCCTTAGCTTGCCACACCTCTTGGAGACTTCTATACCATCTACTGCCTGCGTGAGCTTGGATAATTTACTGAGTATTTATTTCCTAATCTCAAATGGGGCCATTGTAGCTGAGTCAGAATCTAGGATTACTCTGCCTAGGTTCTAATTCTAATCCTGTCTAATCCATATCAACTAGGTGACATATTTTTGCAAGTTATTTAACATGTTTTTTTTTTTTTTTTTTTTGAGACAGAGTCTTACTCTGTCTCAAAAGTCTCACTCTGCCCAGGCTAGAGTGCCGTGGCATCAGCCTAGCTCACAGCAGCCTCAAACTCTTGGGCTCAAGCGATCCTCCTGCCTCAGCCTCCCGAGTAGCTGGACTACAGGCATGCGCCACCATGCCCGGCTAATTTTTTCTATATATTTTTAGTTGGCCAATTGATTTCTATCTATTTTCTAGTAGAGGCGGGGGCTTGCTCTTGCTCAGGCTGGTTTCAAACTCCTGACCTTGAGCGATTGCCCGCCTCAGCCTCCCAGAGTGCTAGGCCGCCCAGCTATGGTGACTTATTTTTTGCAAGTTATTTATTCAACCTCTTACTTCACCTTAGTATCCCTTCTGTAAAATGAAGAGTTGCTTTTTCTTAAGATTATAAATTATATCAGTTAACACAGGTTACAGACTTAAAATTGTGTGTAGTATAGAGTAGGTCTGTTTCCCAGAAGGGTTGAAGTATTGGAAGGTAATGGAATTATTTTATCAGAGAAAGATACACAATAGGCAACTTCAGATTTATTAATTGAATGCACAACAGCGGGCTGGAATGACGTTTCCCACGCTGCTGTCCTCAGGTTATTTGGAATGGAGCTGCGGGAATCCACCCACAGGAGGTTGGCAGCGCTTCGAGGGACAAAACCTTACTTGGACATTGGCTGCTGACAGGTCCTGCCTGCTGGCTCCTGTCCTGAAGTCCGGACAGGGGAAGACGGGTCGCCTTCGCCACACAGCACAAGGACCAGGGGTCCACTTCCCCAGGAGGCAGATTCACCTGCCGACTGAGACCAGAAGTCCTTTCTGCTGGGGACCTAGGGGACCAACGCGTGCTGCAGCTTTAGTTTTGGGATTGTGGGCGCGCACAGGGAGCTCCGGGCAGGGCATGACCGCCTAGGAGAGGTTTGAAGACCCCTAACAGGAGAAGTGAAAGCCAAGATGACTAGACAGCCCCGGCGCTGGGAAGAGGGTGACCGCGTCCCTCAAGGAGCCGCTGGCAGTGCCGGGAGACAGTTTACCACGGGCGGGCACCACTGCCACCTAGCGGCAGAGGACGGGAACGCGTGTCCCGCAAGGCACGGGACAGATCTCGGGGCGCTTGACCCCGAGCGCACATCGTGCCCAAATCAAGGAAACCACTTCCTCAAAAATGTTCCCGTTGGATGACAGTAGGGGAACTGAGCATTTTGGGGGAGACTCCCGTGCGAGATGGCCCTTAGATGCTCCTCATGCCAGCAGCCCTGCCCGGGGTCTGCGCAGGGGCCCTGCCGGGGGCCGGGGCTGCGCCTGCCTGGAGCTCGCCAGGCGCGGCTGCTTCTCCAGCCAGCTGTCCTCCCCCAACGGCCACAGTCCTTCCGTCACCAGCCTGCGGGGGCACTTGGGAACCGCGGGCGTTGGTGCGCGCGGGCCGGAGCTCCTGGGACGCCGACAGGCAGACTCGGGCCCAGGTGGGGTGAATATGAAAAGGCAGGCTGGCGTGCCCAGTTTGGTGACTTGGCACTTCACCCAAGTCAGCGTCAACGCTGCTGGGCCACAGACCAGGACGGTTCTTCTCATTTGGGGTGCTATTATCAAAGCTCCCTGGAACCTGAGAATCTACATCAGATCTGGACGCCATAGGTGACGTGAGTAGCAGAGCCCTAAGGGGCCTGGAACAGCAATGCTGAGCCCTGAGAGGCAAAATGCCACAATTGCTAAGACAAAACCAGGAGACTTACCATTGGGAGCTAAATAGTTACCTGGAGTGCAGGAAAAACAAAATACTGCTAATAAACCTAATGTCTCATACTTTAAGTGACTTTGGAATGATTTTTTGCAAGACACCTGACTGAGTCCATCAATTCTGCGTCCATATTGCAGCCTCTGTTGCTAGGCAACTAATTGCGCATGGTGGCCTACTGTCAAAATCAGGCCCCTTTCAAATGCTAATCTTAATGGCTGATACTCTGTGGCTTATGCTTTGCCACCCCTAACAGTTCCGATTTCCACTGTTATATTCATTGGAACAGGGAGAGCACTTAACTGGGCAGAAAACTGGAATTGCAACTGCTTTGGGAAGGGTTGCCAATTTACCAAGGGGGTACATAAAGGCACCAGGCCACCACAGGAAAAATATGGCGTCATCCCCCAAATCGCAGGTGCCAGCCCCTAGAGCAGCCTTTTGTTAGCCTACAGGTTACAGGTCCCCAAAGTAGATACCTCCCCCACCCCCCCATCAGGGGTTTCGAACCCATTCCTCCCCATCCCTGTTTCTGTGGATGGTGGGGGGAGCAATCTCCAAAGTGACCCCAGCCTCCCAAGCTGCTGAAATTACAGGCGCAAACCAAGGAACGCGGACGCTCACCCTCCATGCTCACCCCGGGATATGCCGAAATAACGAGTCAGCTCACACAATATTTTATTTTTAAAAATACTTTACTGGTGGAAATTGGCTGAGACTAAAAGAAAAATAAATTTGTAATTTAAAAAATGCTTTAGTAAGCCGGGGTCTCACTATTGTTCAAGTGGCCTCCTGGGCTCATGCGACCTTCCCTCAGTTCCCACTGGAGGGGACCCCAAGCAGGCCACTGCCTGGAAGGCTCGGCAGGGTGTGGCCTGCAGGGCAGAAACCGAGGAAACCCAGGCCAGAGCTGCCAGTGAGCGTGTGGGGACAGCGGGCTCTGGAGGAAGAAGGGTTAGTGAATCCTAAATGCAGTTGTGGCTCCTGGAAGATGAGACGCCTTCCTCAAACAGCGAGACCCAAAACAGAAGCACTTTCCAGTGAAGACAAAGGGAAGTGCCTCCATTTTGAGTAACACGGTCTTGAGCTCAAGACTGTTCCCGCGGCGATCTCCTCATGCCTGAAAGGGACCAGAGCCTGCAACAGTCCAAGCACGTTGAAACAGTGTACACGTTACAGTTCACCCAAGTCACTATACATCCTAACCTGCCACGGACGTTTAGCAACCACTCGCCCATGCTTGGGCACCAGTGTCATGGCCGCGGTGGGTAGTTGCCCCACCCTTCCTCTCCCATTAGCTAGCCCAGACTCTCGGCAGCCCACCTGGCCTTCATTCTTGGCCACGTGTGAAGTGCCCTTGGCCACCCCCCATTGCTCTCCACAGGACAGTCCCTAGGTGCTGTGGGAGGCGCACACCACAGCTTAATAACCAGCCCAAAGCCCGGTTTAACTGCCATTTGCAGCTGATGCCCACCGATGACACCCAAATGTTGAAGCACTTTCCACCTAGATTCCAGAAGAGTGCTCCCACATTTGAGTGTCACGGGATGGGCAGTTCCACCTGGACATCTTCAGAGGCAGCGTGGCGCAGCCACACCCCGTCCTTGAGATCTACGGCTTCTCTATTTGCCGGTCGAGTTTTCTCAATCGGTAACACTCAAAAAGTAGCGGCACTTTCGTCACATAACAGAAAGTGCCCCCACAGTTTGAGTGCCACAGGTCGGAAGGAGCCACTAGGGAAGTCAAGAGTTAGTACTTACCCACCAGGCACAGCACTTTTGGATTAAGGGTCAACGCATAACCCTTGACTAATCTGAAAGACATGTAAAATTGAAGAAATTTAGGAAAATCATGGAGGCAGAAAATTTGAAATAAAATACTTCAGCACTTAAAGAAACACACCCCTATCACCTTAAAGTCTATCCACACGCCACAAACCAGAGATCGAGAACTTGCCAGGCCTGTAATCCCAGCACTCTGGAAGGCCGAAGAGGGAGGATTGCTTGAGCTTAGGAGTTCAGGACCAGCCTGAGCTACAGAGACCAGTTTAAGCAAGAGGGAGAGCGAGAGCCTGTGTCTACTAAAATTAGAAAAATTGAATTAAAAATAGAGAGGGCCGGGCCCGGTGGCTCACGCCTGTAATCCTAGCACTCTGGGAGGCTGAGGCGGGTGGATCCCTCAAGGTCAGGAGTTCGAAACCAGCCTGAGCAAGAGTGACACTCCGCCTCTACTAAAAATAGAAAGAAACTAATTGGCCAACTAAAAAAAAAAAAAAAAACACACAGAAAACAAACCAGGCATGGTGGCGCATGCCTGTAGTCCCAGCTACTCGGGAGGCTGAGGCAGGAGGATCGCCTGAGCCCAGGAGATTGAGGTTGCTGTGAGCTAGGCTTAAGCCACGGCACTCTAGCCTGGGCAACAAAGTGAGACTGTCTCAAAAAAAGAGAAAATTGGCCGGGCATGGTGGCTCATGTCTATGGTCCCAGCCATCTGGGAAGCTGAGGCAGGCGAATTGGAGGTTGCTGGGAACTAGGCTGACACCACGGACTCTAGGCCAAGTGACTGGGTGAAACTGTCTCAAACAGAAAAAAAAAAAGCTTGCCAGACTCCAAGCATTACTCTGAGATCCCTCAAAGAAATACACAGAAAATGCAAGGGGTTTTCCACGCTCAGATATGCATGGACGGACAGGCCCCTTGCCCGTCTCACCCGGCCTTTCTGCATCCAAGCAATAGGCAGGTTGAGTCCTTTGCTAGAAGGGACAAGCACAGAAGGAGCACGTGTTGGCAAAAAAGAGCCTTCGAGTTCCACAGGGAACCACAAAAAAGCAGAAAGAGAGTAAAGGAACAAAGAGTAAGACCATACTTACAAAGCCCAATACTTACAGAGCCCAAAGGTACAAGCCCAGCCAAGTCTTCCCAAGACGCCAGGGCTTGGGGCTGCTGGGCTCTTATATAGGCTGAGGGCGCATTCACCTTAGTCCGGGCTGGGATTAAAGACCACCCCCTCCCACCCTCCCATTCCACGTGGTCTCCGGCCAGACCCACCCAGATTCCTTCCATCTTACCTAGGCTCAGTCCCACACACCTTTATATTTTTTAAACATTGACCCCTGTGTTGCTAATGTCACCAGAACATACTGACTGTAAATAACTTGGAAAATGCAGAGATATAGAATAATGCCATCACCTGGGGCGTTCAGTCATTTATTCAACAATTTTTTTTTTTTTTTAAGACGGCCTCTTCCTATGTTGCTCAGGCTGATCTCGAACTCCTGGCTGCACGCGATCCTCCCGCCTCAGTTTCCGAGGAGCTGGGAGTACAGGCGCTTGCCACCATGCTCAGCCTGAACAAATATTAAAATATAATGTTTTATTCATCATATTTATGGAGCAAATAAGAACAGTCACTTTGCTAGTTCTCAGGCTTAGAGGGGTTAATAAAAACGAGGATTTTATAGTCTAGAAGAGTGGTTTACAATTGGGGGTGATTTTTCTCTTCTAGGGGTTACTTGGCAACGTCTGGAGACATTTTCAGTTGTCACAGCTGGGGTCAGGGACATGGAATGCTGACAGCATTTAGTGAATACAGGCCAGGGATGTCGCTAAATATCCCGCAATGCACGAGTCAGCCCCGCACAATACAGCATTTTCCAGCCGCAAATTTTAATAGCGCGGAAGCTAAGAGGTAGGGAGAGAGGGAGCGGGGACCCAATTGCTGCTCCTTATTGCTCCACTTCATCTCAATCTCTGCGCCTATTCATAAAAACACTTACGTTGGGAACACACTTCAGTGCTCTTTAAAAGCCATAAAAGTATCTCAAATGCATTTTCATGGCCGAATGGCAATCTGGAGTATGCTTCTACCATAAATTAATTAGCCCCCAGCTTTGGCTGTTTTCAACTTCCCTGAGTTCAGATTAATTTATTTATAGTGCTGTACGGAACATTTTGGAGAGAAGCTCTGATAAAAGAGCGGAAATGTACCTAATGGAGTCTTCATAAAATGCCTACAGGTTGCCTTTGACCAGGAGGCATAGAAAAGAATTTAAAAAATGGGGTGCAGGGCATGGGCGGGAGGGGAGTTGGAAAATGGAAATGCTCCAAGTACTGAATCTCTGCAGGAAGCGGAAACGCTCGCCGCCCCAGGGGCCTGGTGCCCTTCACCTTTGTCTTCCTAACTAGCCGTGGGGGGTGCATTCTGCCTTTCTGGCTAAACCTAGTTCCTTCATCCATGATAAAGAAACAGCGTAGAAGGCGAGACCACAGACCCCACACGCTGCTGGCTCAGCTGCAGGGCCCAGCTACACCGGACCAAAGCTGGAGGATGAGGATTGCTGGAGCCCAGGGGTTCGAGGCCAGCCTGAGCAACATAACAGAGACTCAGTGTCAAAAACAACAGCAACAAAATATCAACAATGAATTAGACTGCAAATGGGTGTTTGGCAAAGAATGGGTGTCCACTTGATATCATTTGACTTCCCTGCCATAGGTCAGAGAGCACAGGGACGGTAGTGGGAAGGCAGTCCTAGTCGCAGCCAGCATTCCTGAGTTACTAGGAACCCAGTGTCAGGCCGGGTGCCTTGGCTCACGCCTGTAATCCTAGCACTCTGGGAGGTCGAGGCGGGCGGATTGCTCGAGGTCAGGAGTTCGAAACCAGCCTGAGCAAGACCCCGTCTCTACCAAAATATAGAAAGAAATTAATTGACTAACTAAAAATATATATACAAAAAAAATTAGCCGGGCATGGTGGCGCATGCCTGTAGTCCCAGCTACTAGGGAGGCTGAGGCAGTAGGATCGCTGAGCCCAGGAGATTGAGGTTGCTGTGAGCCAGGCTGACGCCATGGCACTCACTCTAGCCTGGGCAAGAAAGTGAGACTCTGTCTCAAAAAAAAATATATATATATATATACATACAAAAAATTAGCCGGGTACGGTGGTGCATGCCTGCAGTCCCAGCTACTTGGGAGGCTGAGGCAGAAGGATTGCTTGAGCCCAGGAGTTTGAGGTTGCTGTGAGCTAGGCTGATGCCACGGCACTCACTCTAGCCTGGGCAACAAAGTAAGATTCTGTCTCAAAAAAAAAAAAAACCAAACACAAAAACCCTCAGCCTCCTGAAGGCA